TAGGGGAGCCAGGCCATGCAGCACCCCCTACAGGCTGCCCTGGGCACCTAGCAAGGGGGCCAGGTCCTTTCAGTGGGTGCCACAAAATGGCAGGATTGAAACCCCTCCCCCCACCCCAACACTGTGGGGGAGGGGTGCGTGGAAGTGGGCTCTCAGTGGCATGGAGCCGCGCAGACCCACCTCCATCATGATCCGGTCCCACATGCGGGTCAGCTCCCGGCCCTGGGCTGTGGGGGCCGCATAGAACGTCAGCATCTGCTTGGTGACCATCCTGTGATTGGAGACCACCTGGGGGGCAGGAGGGACCCATGGGGCAGGGAAGAGACCCTCATGGGCCTAGCCCCCAGCCTGCCCCTGAGCTCTCACTCCCCTCTCTTCTGGCTGAGAGCCCAGGCATCCAGGCCCCACCCCGCTCTACCCACTAGCCTGCCCCACCCAACCCCACAGCCAGACTCACGAAGTCCCGGTGGGTGTAGGACGTGATGCAGGAGGCGCATTCGAAGATGTAGACAATCAGCATCAACACCAAGTACTGTGGGGAGAGAGCTGGTGAGACGCTGCAGGGGGGCCCACTTGGGGCAGGAATCTCTGTGCCCCCCATGGCCCAGGCAGCTCCACTGGGTCCCCCTCCCTGCTCCAGGACCCTCTCCCCAGCCACCCTTCTTAGGTCCCCCAAGTCAATGATACCATCAGGCTGCCCCCCCCAGTCAGCAGCTTCCCCGTGCCACAGCCCTCCTAGGCGCCAGCATGAGCGGCAGGCGGCGGCCCCGTGCCAGGGCCACGATGCCGAAGACACCAAGGCAGAAGAAGGCGAAGCCGCAGAAGATGGCGATCCAGGCACCCGCGTAGACGTCGTCCTTGCCCGACACGCCCAGGATGGGGTACACCTTGTACTGGTCGGCTGTGACCCACACCGTCTCGGCATAGAGCGCGATGCCGCACATCTGGGGAGGGAGCAGGTGAGCCGAGGGACCCCACCCCTCCCTACGAAGACACCAAGGCAGAAGAAGGCGAAGCCGCAGAAGATGGCGATCCAGGCACCCGCGTAGACGTCGTCCTTGCCCGACACGCCCAGGATGGGGTACACCTTGTACTGGTCGGCTGTGACCCACACCGTCTCGGCATAGAGCGCGATGCCGCACATCTGGGGAGGGAGCAGGTGAGCCGAGGGACCCCACCCCTCCCTACACTGCACAGCTGGAGGTAGGGGCAGGTGAACCCCATCCCGATGCACCATAGCTGTGGGCAGGGTTGAGCAACCCCGGGGGGAGGAGAAGGAGCTCAAGTCTGGCTTGGCCCAGGGTATACCATGCCAGCCATGCGACAGTCCCCTAGAAATAGAACTGCCTGGCTCCCCCTGCCCATAGCCCCACCCTCTTCCCAGGGCAGCTGCAGCCCCAGACTCCGGAGCCTGCCAACATATGGCCTTCCCTGGTCCTGAGCCCCCCCAACCCCAGCTGCCCCCCCCTCCTCTCACCAGGATGATGAGGTTCCCCAGAATCAGCACCCCTACAATGAGGGGGTTTCCTTTCTCTGCCATGTTCTGCCTCTGAGGGGTTCTGCCAGCTCACACCCTGCAACAGACACGGGGGGTTAGAGACCAAGTCCCCCAGAACCAAGGCTGGGCCACACCAAGGTGGGATGGGAGGGGCAGAGGGCAGCAGTGCCAAGGTAGGTCAGCATCAGCCTCCCTTCCCCCACTCAGAATAGGCCTGTGGGTCACACCCCTGAAGTGGCTGGAGAGCTCTGGATCCTCCCCCACCTTCCTGGCCCTCCCCATAGGAGAAGGGGTTTCTGGACCCAGTTGTCCCACCCCAGGGACTCGCCCAGCCAGATTCCTCCTGCCCCAGGGAAGCCCAGCAGGTTTTTCCAGCTGCCACACATTTCGCCCCCAGCAGCATTTTACAGATTCCCTCCCCAGACACACCCAGTCTCCCAAGCCAGAGCCCCTCCCTGCGCTGGGCTCCAGACCCCCCCCCACTCTCCCAG